TACTCAAAGAGCCATTTGGACCCGTTTCCCACAGAAAAGAAAACACCGGGAGCCACAAAACCCTTCCCGTGCCTGACTATTTCTTGAGCGGCTACAAAACTAGCATATGTAGTTGAATTAAACTTTTGATTCTGAAAGTTTACTTTTCTTGGATTTATCCATAGTTGGCCTACCGGGGGTTGAAAAGCTCAATAAATTGCGTGCTGACGGGTGTTGCACATTGGCGGTTGTGAGGGCATATTTTGAGTGAGGGAGCCGCAGCAGAGGGGTAAAAGAGCCACATGCGGCTCCAGAGCCACACGTTGCTGACCCCTGCTCTAGAGCTTATTCTATGGACAAGTGTCCTCGGTTTTCCTTGGTACCATTCCCTTCCCGAGTAGTATCCCGAGTTTGGAAAGAAAGGGTACCCACGTACACCCGTTTCCTTAGCCCCAGTCGCTATCCTAACTAGGACAAGCAACCGCGAAGTTAAGCGTGCTTTCTTTTGCCACATCCTTCGCATTCAAACGCCTAACGATACCACTTTTGTTGTTGTTGTTGTTGAAAATCTTGACTTCGAGTTTTAAAGGTGTCCCTCTGAATTGCAACTGGACACGGGTCGTCCCCTCGGAGAAACGCAACGTTTCTCTCCCTTAAAGGAAGGAAAGCAAATCCATGCGATTCGCTTGGGACCAAACCGAATTCTCAAGGTCTGTATGTTTTCTTTGGCTACTGGCTCACACCCTCTCCCTCTTTCCCCCTCCCCTCCTCCCTCCCCCGCGTCTTTTCTCACACTTCAGACAACCGATCTGGCCATTGCTTTGCGGGTCATTCTTTATATATATATAAATATTCTTTAAAAATATATATATATTTAATAAACAGATCAGAATAGTCTCGGGTAACTCCGGTCCTCTGTGCCTCCAACAAGCCAAACATTTCTTTAAAGTCGGTTTGCAGGCTGAAAGAAGCAATAGCGCTTAGACTTATACACCGCTTTATGGTGCTTTTACACCCGCTGTCTAAGCGGTTTCCAGAGTTAGCACATTGCCCAACCCCCACCCCCAACCATCTGGGTCCTCGTTTTAACGAAGGATGGCTGGAAGGTTGAGTCAACCTCGAGCAGGTCAGGATCGAACTGCTGGCAGTGGGCAGAAATAGTTAGCTCTGCAATGGCCATGCTGGTTTCCACGATGCTTTAACTCGGGGTTCACTGAATCCTGGTTGAGTCGAGGAGGAGGAGGAGGAGGAGGAGGAGGAGGAGGAGGAGGAGGAGGAGGAGGAGGAGGGCCCGAAAGTATCCTTCAGCGCTTCGGCCTCACGACGCTTCAGGTTGAGTTGGGAGGATTACAAGTCGTTGCGTCGTGGGAACCCGACTCGGCATTGTGCTTGTGAAAAATGGCTTCACAGCCATCCTGAGAGTTAGGGAAAGAGCGCGGGTGGGTTGTAAGGGACACTTAACAGTTGAATAGCTGAAGGCTCAGCTAATTAACAGCTCATTAGGCGAGTCGAGGGGACCGTGTGAAGCAACCGCGGAGCATGCAAACGCCAAGTCAACACGCGGAACATCTCAAAGTGCCAGCTACCTCCGTGGTCCCCAGATACACCCCAGAGCAACGAAAGGGGCGGCTGAAGTTGCTAGAAACCAACATCCGCCCAAGTAACCCTCCTTTGCACAGCAGCTGCGTTGCTTCCCGCGTCACTTTTCCCGGGGTGCGGAAATCCACTGCGGATCCTAAAGCAGAGAGACGGGGACGAAGGACTGAAGGCGCAAATCAGACCGGCGATCCTATCCTCCTCTATTCCAAAGGAACGGGAATTGTTTTACACGCGCACGCTTACACACCCACACCCACACCCCCCACACACGGAATCGTGGTAACTTAACCTAGGAATATTTTAGAGCGAACCGCGCAATGTTGGGACTATTTTGCAGACCGAGGGTGTGGAATCCAAGACAAATTTTAGACTCAGCCGCCAGGCGTTCAACCCAGTTTACTCCAGTAAAGCGGGGTCTCTCTGCACAGATCTAGTTCTTAAGACTGGATCCCAGTAGAAGTAACCTATGCTGGGATCCGCCTCTACTGGGATCTATTTGCAGGGACCACGGTTGTTCTTCCTTCTGTTTCTTTGGGGTCCCAGCCGACCCCCTTAAGGTCGCCTCATCTTCTGGAAGGAGGATGCTTTCTTTCTTTCTTTCTTTCTTTCTTTCTTTCTTTCTTTCTTTCTTTTTCTTTCTTACTTTCTCTCTCTCTTTCCCTCTTTCTTTCTTTCTCTTTCTCTCTTTATTGGTTTTATTCTCTTTATTCTATTAGTTTTCCATCAGTTTCCCTCCCCTCCTTTCAATCCAAAAATAAAATAAAAAGGCTGCCAATTAATCTATCTTTCTCTCTCCCCCCTCCTCTCTCTCTCTCTCTTTGCCTCTTTCCCTCTTTCTCTCTTTCTCTCTTTCCCCCTCCCCCCTCTTTCTCTCTTTTCCACTTTCTTTCTTGTTTCCAGGAAAAGAGTGACTGATTTTCACCCTTCCTCCTAAACTACGAAGGAGCAGGAGTTTGTGGTCTCCAGGGAACGTTTTCTATTTAAATGGCCTGCGGGGGAGGCGGAGAGGGAGGGAGGCAAACCAACAAGTAGAGGGGTCAAACCAGGCCATAAAACAACTCGGACTTCATTTTTGGCCGGTTCTAAATTAAATATTAAATATTGTTAAAGTCTTCCAGGCCTGCGCTTCCTCTTTTCCTCCTTTCGATGAAATAAATAGACAAAGCGTGGGAGAAGGAAGGCCTGGGGATTGCCCTCAAGTGGGTTTTGGGGAGGGGGCGCACGAAAACTTGAGGTTCCGAGCTGTGTGCCCCTCGCAAAAAAAAAAAAAAGTAAATCGAAGAGCCGAAAGGAAATTGGGGGACTCAGATGATCTTGCACGGGGTGCGTGTACGTGTGCGTGAGAGAGGCTAAATCAAGAACCCAAGGGGTTAATCTTTCCTCCGTTCAAAACGATTAAATAAATCGGAGATTTATCTTTCCGATCTCCTCTCCTTTCCAGTCTCAACCTGCCGTTGGAGAGAACTGAATGGCAAAGGAGCTTCTTTTCAGTTTCATTAATTCGGGGGGCGCGTGGGGGGGGGGGGCGGCGGAGGTTCGGTGGTGGAACCTGGGGTCTGTCTCCTTTTGCACCAGTCGGAAGGGCTCCGTTTGAAATTCGGCACAAGTGTGACACCTACCTGTGAATTTGGGAAGCGGTCCAAGGCGACCCCTGCTCACCCTCCATTTGCCCGCACTCATCTGCGCCACCCCCCCTCCCAGAAGTCCTCGTCCGCGCCTTTGGCAGGATGGAACCAAGGGGGGGGGGCGAAATCATTTCAGCCTCCCTGACTTTGCAAACTTTAGCCGGGCCCAGAGACAGAGAGAGAGACAGATAGACAGACAGAGAGGGAGAGAGAGAGGAAGAGATGGAGAGAGGAAGAGAAAGAGAAAGAGAAAGAGAGAGAAAGAGAGAGAAGAGAAGAGGGGGGAGAGGGAGAGAAAGAGAGAAGAGGAAGAGATGGAGAGAGGAAGAGAGGAAGAGAAAGAGAAGAGATAGAGAAGAGAGAGAAAGGAGAGAGGGGGGGAGAGGGAGAGAGAGAGGAAGAGAGGAAGAGAGGAAGAGAGGAAGAGAAAGAGAAGAGAAAGAGAAGAGAGAGAAAGAGAGAGGGGAGAGGGGCAGGGTGGAGAGAGAGAGAGAGAGAAGAAGGCGGCTTCGAGAGAGCTAAGGCAGCGAGCAAGGAAAGGAACGAAGCGCCAGGCCAGGCGGGCACGGATTCACAGAACCCGGCGGCTCTCCCGGGTATTTTTAGTGCAGCAGAACCGCTAAAGGAAAAAAACAAACAAACAAAGCGGCTGTAAAATAGAAGCTCCTTCGCGAATTTCCCCAGCAAAAAAAGAAAAGAAAAAGCTTTGCTTAAAAAACCATGAAGAATTAAATTAAAGACTTTTTTGGGGAAGAGCGACTCCTAAAGAACCCGCCTAAAGGATCGCGAGGCGTGAAAAAGCCGCGGCTTCTTCCATTTTTAGCCTTCCTTTGGCATTGTTTCTCCCACCACCCGAGACCCCCAACGATCCCCCAAAACCTAGGCAAGCAGGGGCCGGCGTCGCCACCCCCCACCCCCTCCATGCGTCGCGTCCCTTTCCCAAGAACCGATCTCTCACCCCACCCCCACCCCCGCCGCACAATCTATCAAGAAGTGGAAATCTGTGGAGTGAGGCTGGGCCACCGGCGCGTTCACACGACCAAACGATAGCCCTCCCCCCCACCCCCCCACCCCGCATCCCCGGCCGTTTTCCGAGGATATGGCTTTGGGGCTACAATTTCTAGTTGAAATCAGCAACATTCGAAGAGTTTCTTGGGCTGTGTAAAATCCACCCAGGTGAAATATTTCTCATAACCGTCTGCCCCTTCCCACTGGCCCCTTCCACACACACACCCATTCCATTCCTAGATCAACTTTCCCCAAATCCGATACTAGAAACACCCCCCACCCCAAAGCCATTTTTTCCGGCCCCTGGCAATAATGATAATTTCTCGCCTTCTCAACCTAAAGGAGGTGGGGGGAAATTCATTAGAATATTTCCTTTGTTCCCCCCTTTTTTTCTTTGTTTGTTGCATTCGAATTGCCACTCCCCTCCCCCCCCAAAAAAAAATGGTTTTTTTTTCTTTTTTCAAAATGTTTTTTTTTTTTTTTCATTTTAATGCATATAAAAATAAATCTATGGTTTGATTTCACGCTGGACTGAGGCCGTCTGTGAGGACACCGAATAGCACAGGTTGACTAGCTTCCGCATGGAAAGTTGTTGATTTCAGATAATAATATTATGCTGCTAATAGCTCAGTAAGCAGATAGACACCCAGACACGCATCCACGCGCACACACGCACCTACATAAACAATTTGGGAGAAGACACAAACGCGCGCGTGTGTAGGTGCATATATCTATATTTAGAGATATCTATGCAGAGAGAACCAAAAAGCGACATTAGGACTGTACAAGTGGTTGGATTTCATAATTTACTTCAAAGATACCGTATAACCGATTTAAATACAAAAAAAAGCTACATTAAATATACAGAATAAGATTTCATACAAATCGCCTCTGTCTTTTTACCCCCCCTCCTCCCCTGCGTGCGAGAGAGATTCGCCACAAACCCACCACGTCTTGCAGTTCTGCTTAAGACTTCTAAAAGCTGCAGTTTTCAAATAAATTATAAAGCTGATCTGGGAACCGGCCACTCTCTCTCTCTCTCCCTTCCTTTCTTTCTTTCTTTCTTTCTTTCTTTCTTTCTTTCTTTCTTTCTTTCTTTCTTTCTTTCTTTCTTTCTTTCTTTCTTTTTCTTTCTTTCTTTCTCTCTCTCTCTCCCTCCCTGTCTTTCTTTCTTTCTTTCTCTCTCTCTCTCTCTCTCTCTCTCTTCCACCCTTCCTCCCCCCTTTTTGGCAGCGGGTGGGAGAGGGAAAAAAAAACCCCGATCAAGACGGCCCTGATGGGAAAGAAATGTGGAAAAATCGCTCACGATGAAAAAAGAAAGAAGTAAAAAAAAAAAAAAAAGCAGAAAATCACTGTAAGAGCGGCGGAGGAAGGTGGGGAGCCCATAACTTTCTCTTCCCCCGAATAAAAGGCGGGCCCAAATCCACAAAGTCCCGTTTTGGAGCTCAGCTTTTAAGTTGGGGGTTTTAAATGTGCGACATACCTTTCTTGAGTTCGTAGGGCGCCTCTTTGCTAAAGTCGTAGTGGCTGTGACTTCGGAGCACCTTCGCGTCTTTGGCCAGGCTCTCCGCTCTGTTCAAAAGGGTCTGGTTTAATCCGTTAAAATGGGGGCTGGGGGCGCCCGCCTGGGCCGCGTTGCCGTGAAGGTGTCCGAAGGAAGCGTAGTTCGTGTAGCCGGGGTAAAAAGGGCTGGTGGCGTAATAGAGGGGTCTCGGGAGCACCGAGGCGGCGCCGTTGGGGAAGGGGCAAGGGGCGGCGGAAGGCGAGCGCGCCGTCGGGGATTGCGCCGCCGGCCCGCTTAAACCCGAAGGAGTTTGCGGGGGCGTCTCGCCGCTGCCCCCTTCCTTGGCCTTGTCCGCGGAGGTGGCGATCTCGGCCAGGGACCAGAGCTTGGGCTTGGAAAGAGCCCCCGGGCCGGCCGCCTGCGGAGGCGCTTGGGGCGTGTGGATGACCGACGTGCCGTGGCTGGAAGGCAGGCTGGGGTGCAGGTCCGTCGAAGGGGGTCTGTATTGGGAGGGAGGGGGCGGCGGCGCCGGGGGGTCCTCGCCGCCGGCCCCGGGATGCAAGAGCTGCTGCTGCTGGTGGTGGTGATGGTGCTGGTGAGCTTGGAGTAGCAGGCGGCCGGCGGATCCACAGTGCACCAAAGGCGGCGAGGCGCGGACGGCGGCGGCGGCTTCTTTCCGAAGCGTCTGCTCGGGGCTTTCCTTACAATCCGAGTCGCTGGAGGCGCCGTCGGTTTCTTTGCCCCCTCCGACGCCTTTGGGGTCTGCGGGGCCTGCGGAGAAAAGCCGGAGAAGGCCCCGGGGGGCACTGTCAGACTTCTGTGGGCTCAGCGCTGGCCTCGACATCACCGGGAACCTGACACCCCAAATCATTTTCTCTGTCTGTGCTTCCCCACCCAGCAGATGGGCCGAGTTGACTAAGCCCTCTAACCCCCGGAGGAAAAAGAGCATTTCTTTCTTTCTCTTTCTTTCTTTCTTTCTTTCTTTCTTTCTTTCTTTCTTTCTTTCTTTCTTTCTTTCTTTCTTTTTTTGTTCTTTCTTTCTTTCCTTCCTTCCTTCCTTCCTTCCTTCCTTCCTTCCTTTCCTTCCTTCCTTCCTTTCTTTTTCTCTTTCTTTCTTTCTCTTTCTTTCTGTTTCTCTCTCTCTCTCTCCTTCTCCACAACCCCAAGTTTCCCCATGTGTGAATGAGGTCCGTAAGACATTCACCGACCTGCTTCAAGCTAATCGTGAGAATACAGACAGTCGGGCTTTCTCTCTCTCTCCCCCCCCCCCCCCCCCCCCCCCGGCCTCTTTCTGCTGAGCCCCGTTCCCGGACAGGCCCCTTCCTTTTTCTTACACCTTCAAAGCTGCTGGAGGCCTAGCACTTCTCCCCCTCCCCATCCCGTCCTCCAGAGGATCCCGGCCTGAAAGTGGGGACACCGACCACCCCACGCCTCTTCTCCAGCCACCCTTCTCCCCATCTAAGAGCCTTTTCAAGGCCTCCAAGAAGCCCCACAACTAAGCCAGCTGCGCTCGGGGCAGGGCAGGAGGAGGGGGCGGCGGCTCTTACCGAGCTGACCCGTCTCGGGGTCGCCCTTCTCCTCGAGTTTGGCCGGTTCCTCGTCGTCGTTCTTCTCCAGGTCGATGTTCTCTTCTTCTTCCTCGTCCTCGCTGCGGTTCCGCGGCGTCCAGGTCATCTTGTTCTCCTTCTTGAGGCGTCGCCGGGCGTTGGCGAACCAGGTGGAGACCTGAGTGAGGGTCATCTTGGTGATGATGGCCAGCATGATCTTCTCGCCCTTGGTCGGGTAGGGGTTCTTGCGGTGCTCGTTCAGCCAGGCCTTCAGCGTGGCCGTGGCGTCCCGCGTGGCGTTCTTGCGGTAAGCCGGGTCCCCGTAAGGGTAGGAGCCCAGGGGGGCGGCGTAAGGATGGTACCCCAAGGAACCCGCCATGCCGGGCGTGTGGTCGTAGGGCGAGCCCTGCAGAGAGAGACGAGAAGGAGAAGGGGAGAAGAGGAGAGACGAAGCAGGCCCGAGTGAGAAGGAGGCCCGCGGGGGAAAAAAAAAGTCCACGCCGGCTGGAAAAGCCACCGCTGTGGATGGTACAATATTTACAACGAAGAGAGCTTTTCTCCTGCCCCTCCCTAACCCCCCACCCCCCACCCGCCACTCACATAATAATAACTCTCATAACGACCCCCACCTTAAATAATAACGAATAAACCGGACTATACATCACGCGGGTCCGGCCGAACGTCTGAACGCGGGCAGAAAAACATACCGGCCGCCACTCCAGCGTTTTTTCCACCGCTACTTTTCCTACAGCCCCCTCCCCACCGCCGCTCCCCCACCCCGGCTTGCCTCTACGCCGGATTATCCGCCTGTAAACAGCAACAAATTATACACCCCGCCTCCTCTGCCCCCTTTAATTAAAGGCAACCTTTTTGCCCAAACTCTTCCCCGTCTCGGTTTTATTTTCATTTTTTTTTAAAACCTTCCCCCCTTCCCCAATGGAGAGCTCGTAGGAGGAAAGGGGAGAGAGAGAGAGAGAGAGAAAGGAACAGAAAACCAACCCTAGAAGAAACGGGACGAGGAAAGAGGCCGTCTCGGCTCCATCTGGTTTGAAATCGGATTCAAATAGGAGTTGAGTCTCGGGGTATTTTCTCCCCCCGCACCCGCCCCCCTCCCCAGCGAGGCCTAAGGCGGTTGCCTTAAAAATGGATCGGGGTTGTTTTGCTGGAGCCCTGGGAAGGCAGGCAGCGCCCGAGGCGTATCCGCAGGGCGAAAAAGAAACGCGGGGTGATTTGGCTTTATTTCTCTGGGTTTCTCCCCTAAAGATTTCCGGGTAGGGTTCGTTTAGGGACCGTAACCCCGGTGCAGCAGCTCCCTTGGGAAATCTCTTCTTTTTAAACCGATCTTCCCGAGGACGGCGGCGGTGGGTTTCTTTAAGCGACTGGGTGCTTGGATTCAACCAGCCGCGGCGGAAAAAGAGCAAGGGGCGAAATCTGACCGGTTTCACTCTCTCGGGCCCCCCCCCATCCCCCTCTCCCCCCGTCCCCTTCTTCGGCAGCCAAACTTGATGGGCGTCTAAACTGATTGACCTGACTTGAATTCAAAGGAGGTCAGGGGGGGATGGGGGCGGGTGGTGGGAGCACAGTGTTCCTGGACATGGACAAAAATAAAGTGATGGCATGGGGAATCTCTGAAAAGCTAACCAGGCGGCGTTCTCAATTCTTTCTTTCTTTCTTTCTTTCTTTCTTTCTTTCTTTCTTTCTTTCTTTCTTTCTTTCTTTCTTTCTTTCTTTCTTTCTTCTTTCTTTCTCTTTCTTTCTTCTCTTTCTTCTCTTTCTCTCTTTCTGTCTCTCTTTTCTCTCTATCTCTCCTTTTTCTCTTTCTCTTTCTTTCTCTTTCTTTCTCTCTGTTTCTCTCCTCTCTCTTTTTTCACCCCCCTTTCTCTGTCTCTCTCTTTCTCTCTTTCTCTCTCTTTCTTTTCTTTCTCTCCTTCTCTCTTTGCCGTCTCCGAATTGCCCCAAATGAACCCCTCTTCGTCTCCCCTTCACTATTTAGATCTCAATCCGAAAGAGCAGGACGCTGGGTTTCTCATACCCGGAAAACCGTTTCGCCTACGAGTTCCCCTCGTACACTTTACTGAATCCCGAATAAATAGGCTGCTGCAGCCCAGAATTGCTTGGGCTTTTGCCGGAGGGGGTAGCAGGCAGCAATTCTCCCTTAGAATCTCCCGTAAGGTCAGAGTTGCCCCGATTGGAGCCGAAGCAGGATCGGACGCAACCTGTCTTCGGGTAAGAGAAGCCGGTGGGCCCGAGACTTCTTAAGGAAGGGCCCCGGAGCCTCCAGGCGGCCGACTATCCTTCCCTCTGCTCTCGGCTTCCTTTCTCCCTTTCCCGGCGCGTTCCCTTCAGCCAGAGCCGCTTTTGCAAGCCCCCGACCAAAGCCCCAGCTCTCCGCGTCTTCCCCGCCTCCCCTCTGCTCCTGACCTCGGGGTCTCTCCTCGCCCAAGCCTCCTGCCCACTCCTGCCTTCTTCGAGCCAGCACCGAGGAAGGAAGGAAGGAAGGAAGGAAGGAAGGAAGGAAGGAAGGAAGGAAGGAAGGAAGGAAGGAAGGAAGGAAGGAAGGAAGGAAGGAAGGAAGGTCGGGGGAGCGGTGCTTACCACGTAGGAAGAGAAGGCAGCCGCCGCCGCTGCCGCCGCCGGGTCTGCGCCGTACTGGAGGTGCGAGTTGTAGCCGGGCGAAGGAGCGCTGAAGGCGGTGGAGCCGGCGTAGGGGGAAAAAGCCGAGCCGGACGACGACCTGCCCAGTTCATCCGTCCGCGGACCGGAGATCACGCTGGTGCTGTAGGCAGGGCAGGAATAGAGGGCCAAGGACGCGGACGGCTGGTACAAGTAACCCTGAGGATACGACATGGCCGGAAGCTGCTGGCAGAGCTCCGCCAGCCAGCCCCAGCCAGCCGCGCAAGCAGCTGCTGCAGCCGCCGCCTCCGCCAAGCGCAGCGCCGGTCCGGGCTTCGGGCTTTGGCGTTCCGGATCCTGGCTCTCCCTCTCTCTTTCTCTCTCTCCGGAGCGCCTTGTCGGAGCTTTGCCGCGGCGGGCGGCTCTGCCAACGACGGGCGGAGAGCCCCTCTTCGCCGCCTCCCCTCCGCAGCAGCTCTGGCTGGAGTCTCCGGCGCACGGCACCTTTCGGGGGGCCCCCCTTCTTCTTCTTCCTCCTCCTCCTCCTCCTCTTCCTCCTCCTCCTCTTCCTCCTCCTCCTCTTCCTCTTTGCAGGCGTCTTCTTCTCGGTTCCCGCTCCCCCGCCCTCCCTCTCTTCCTCCGCTGGGCAAGGAAAGGGCGCTTTTCTCCGCTTGGGCTCCCGGATCGCTCGTTCTCTCTCGCCTGCCTTCTTGACCGCCCGCCCGCTCGCTCGCCCGTCGCCCCCCTTTCCCTGTGCGCGCTCCGCCAAAGGTCCTGCCAAGAAGCGAAGTTGGGAATTGAGGATTCTGACGCCTCCGACGCAACGCGCCCAAGCTCCGCCTACCGCGGGGGGGGGATATTGGCGGAGCGAGAGACTCGGTGGGGGGGGGGCGTGGAGGAAAGAAGGAGGGAGAGGCGGGGAGTGGACGGGTTGGGGGGGCGGAAGAAGGGAGAGAGAAGTAAAAGTAAAAGAAATCCGAAGGGGTTGGTTGGAGCTGGGCTGGCCAAACCCAAGCAGCTAAATGCCCCCCCCTCTCTCCCTCCCTCTCTCCTTTCCTCTATCTCTCTCTCCCCCTCTCCCTCCCTCCCTCCCCCCTCTCTCTCTTTCTCTCTCTCTCTGTCTCTCTCTCTCTCCCTTCCTCTCTCTCTCCCGCCCCCCTCTTCTCTTGCCGGCTCAATTGCGCCGGCCTCTGGCAATCAACAGCCAAGCTGTTTAGCAAAGATCACCTCCAACTTTCTTCATTTGCTAAATACACCATCAGCGCAATTTCTCTTTTGATTTATGGCAACGAGCGTGCCGGCTGGGTCCTCGCTCGTTCGTTCTCCCGCTGGCGGGCCTGCACTGGAATGTGAATGCGTTCGCTTGATGAAATAGGCTAGAAAAGGAAGGAAGGAAGGAAGGAAAGGAAAAGGAAGGAAGGAAAGGAAAGGAAGGAAGAAAGGAAAGGAAGGAAGGAAGGGAAAGGAAGGAAGGAAGGAAGGAAGGAAGGAAGGAAGGAAGGAAGGAAGGAAGAAAGAAAGAAAGAAAGAAAGAAAGAAAGAGAAAGAAAGAAAGAAAGAAAGAAAGAAAGAAAGAAAGGAAAGAAAGAAAGAAAGAAAGAAAGAAAGAAAGAAGGAAGGAAGGAGAGGGAGGAAGGAAGGAAGGAAGGAAGGAAGGAAGGAAGGAAGGGGAAGGAAGGAAGGAAGGAAGGAAGGAAGGAAGGAAGGAAGGAAGGAAGGAAGGAAGAAAGAAGAGGGAGGGAGGGAGGGGAGGGGAGGGGAGGGGAGGGAAGAGAAGGGAAGGGGAGGGAAGGGAAGGGAAGGAAGGAAGGAGTTTCGAATCAGCAAATCTGGGAAGTCCAACTAAATCAAAAGCCATCTGTCGAAGAAGAAAATGGGAAAACAGTTTTTTTTTTCCTTCAAATTTGGCACACTGCTTTGCTGTCCTACCTCCCTTACAACTTCCTACTAATGTCTTTGCTATTGCTGTTATTATCAGTACATTTATTTTCCCATGAAGGGTTTTTATTTTTGCCCCTGGATAAATGATCCGCCTGGAGGGCCCAGAAAGCTACCCTCACCACCCCGTTATTCCAGAGGGATCCAATTCTGATTTGCTCAGATTCCCTTCTCCCTTCCGTTTCTCAAGCACAGCCGCCTCAATAGACCCGGCCTGGGGATTTAGTTGTTTCAAAATTACGACCGTTTTGTTTGAAACGAAACGATTCTTACCCGTTTCTTTACTACAGTTATTTTATAATAACATAGCCGATAACAAACCAAAACTGGAAACCGAACGTGGTTAAGTGCTTAACTATCTCTCTGATTTGGACCAAACCAGCTATCTAACGTTATCTCCCTCTTCCATTTCTCTTAAAGAGGCAAGAACGTGCGATTATTCCCTCCGTGTTTTTGCCACCCGGGGCCCACGCCAAGTTCTCTTGTTCCTCTGGCCCACCAGGTAGGCAGAAATCTCGCCAACCAGCGCTTTCCCAGAGACCCGGAGCAGAGGGGCGCCCCCCTTTGCCAAGTTGTCCCGAGAGAAAAACGAACCGTCCACCCCGCCCGCTTGTTGTGACAGTAGCAGAAGGTCGGGTTGGGTTTCTGCCCCCTTGGCAGGAAAGAGGAGGGGGTGGGGGAAGAGGGGGGAGCCCAGGAAAAGTCGCGGAGGGCGGCTGGAGAGAGAACGAGGCTGCGGAACGGCCTGCTTGGTCGAAGCTTGGCCGGGGCATCTCAGGGAAAAGAAAAAAAAAGAAATAATAATCCAGGTATCTTTCCTTTTCTCCACCCCCCCACTTAAACCCCATAAAAGGGTAGTAGCCAAAGCAGATTAAAACCAGATGGAGCGGAGAAAGTCCATGCCGATCGCAGAATGTAATCTCCTTTGATTCTAGCAGATATCTATTACCCAGTAGGATCGCGTCCTGTTCTCCCTCTCTCTCTCCCTCTCTCTCTCTCCCTCCCTCCCTCCTCCCTTTTGCAGGAGGGGCAGCTCTGACATCTGTCTAACCAATATGCCAGTTTTCTTTCTTTCTTTCTTTCTTTCTTTCTTTCTTTCTTTCTTTCTTTCTTTCTTTCTTTCTTTCTTTCTCTTTTCCCCTCTCTCTTTCTCTTTTCCATTCTCTCTCTTCCCACCCTCTCTGTCCCTCTCTCCCCCTTTTTGCAGGAGAGCCAGCTCTGATATCTGTCTAACCCACACGAAAACGGAGCCGTCTTTCCAACCCTCGACCAGTCGAAACTCCCCTTTCCACCTCCCGCTGCTGAGCTTCCGAAGTTTCCCTTTCAGCCTAAGAAACGACCCCCCCACCCTGAGAAAAGAGAGTCCACCCCTAAGCCCGCGCGGGGCCCATCTTGGTGTACAGAGGCCAAGGGGCAGCCTGCAAAACTAGACCGCTTGGCGAAGGAGGCTTGACTGGGACTGGACTCCCCTCTCCCCCAACGGCGGTGGGTGGGTGGGTGGGTGGGTGGGCGAGATTCCTTTTAGGGACATCTAAGCATTCTTTCGGGAGGTGGAGGAGCGCGAGGTTTGCGCCTGGCAGCAGTCACATTTGGGGGCGCAAGAGCTAGGCTCCCCCCCCCAGTACAGAGGTTCTGGGGCCGCTTTAAGTCTTTGCGAAACTTGCGAAAGGTTCGATTCGTCTGGTCGGGTTTTTTCTTTCTTTCTTCCTTTAGTCGGGGGTGGGTGGGCGTGAGAGAGGAGACGGATGGACGCACACACACAGAGACACAAAGAAAGAGAGAGAGGGGGAGAGGGAGGGAGGGAGGGAGAGAGAGAGAGAGAGAGAGAGAGCCACACGCAGGGAGATGTGCTGAGAGCTGAGGAAGGCAACATTCCCAGGAGACCGAGAAGGGAAAAGCTCGGAGTAGTAGCGCTCTGAGCGCAGAATCGGCTGAGAAGCGAATTTGGGGCGTCCGTATTTTTTTTTTCAACCAAGCGGGGTGTCTGTGGTTCTTAGTCGGGAGAGGCTGGGATCTTCGGCGAAGGCTAAATTTTGGACGCCTCTCCACCCAAGCCCGGACGTCCCAGCGACGTTAGAAAGTTCTCCGCGAAGTGAGGCCGGGATTAAACGACGTCGCAAGATCGATCCCCGCGCAACTGGCACGGTCGAAAAACCCACTGGTTCACTCTCGGCCCTCGGAAGGGAACAATTGATTGTTAATAATAATTGAAAACCACCGGCCCCGTTTCTTCCTTAAAGAGAGCTGCGGCTTGGGGCTAAGATGCCGACTCAAGCCTGCTTATCCGCGGACAGAAGTTTCCTTTGCATAAACGGGAGCCCGGGGTTTTATTCCCGAGTAACGCAGGCACCGAAGCTACCTGCAAGTACAGGAGGATACAATTGGGCTCCATCAAAAAAAAAAAAAAAGTTTAAATTGGAATCTATCGGCTTTACTCGGAAGTAAGATCCATGAAGTGAATCAGGTGTCTCCAGCACGTCCCCTCCTCGCTCCCCCCCTCTCCATTTCTCTTTCCCCTCCCCCACCCGCTCGGGGGGAAGGGCTGCCCATAATTATCCAATTAGGACCCCCAAAGCAGCGGCCGCCTCTGTCTCCTCCCCATCCCAATTAAAGAAGAACAAACAAACCTGAAGCTACCAAATTCTTGGACTATTAAAATCTCTGATCAAAACTTTCTCGGAAGGGGGGAGGAATGATTAGCTGTCCCAGGATGTTTGTCATTCTTCCGAATCAAAGAAAGGAAAGAGACAAAAGGAAAGGATTGGGGTGGGGATGGGGTGGGGTGGGGGGGCTGAATGAACCTCTGGTCACAGACAACTAACTGATGCAGGGCAGGCGAATCTCCAGAGAGAGATGATTTCTTCTTCTTCTTCTTCTTCTTCTTCTTCTTCTTCTTCTTCTTCTTCTTCTTCTTCTTCTTCTTCTTCTTCTTCTTCTTCTTCTTCTCCTCCTCCTCCTCCTCCTCCTCCTCCTCCTCCTCCTCCTCCTCCTCCTCCTCCGCCCGTTGCATATGTATTGGTTCCTTTTCCTTTCTCTGATCGCAGCTACTAAATCCTTTTTATGGACTTGAATTTGAAGGGTGCACATTTTTTGGCTGGAGAAGAGTATCAGGAATACCAGTAATCACGACAGATTCTAAGGCCTTCGGATCAACTTTAGTTGATCCTAAGTTATCAGCATTTGCTAAAGATAAAGAAAGTGTGTGTGTGTGTGTGTGTGTGTGTGTGTGTGTGTGTGTGTGTGTGAGAGAGAGAGAGAGAGAGAGAGAGAGAGAGAGAAGGGGGCGTTTAGCTGCTTGGGTTTGGCGGGAGGGAGGAGGATAGAGGAATAAGGGAGGGAGAGAAGGAAGAAAGAAGAAAAGAAAAGAGGATGGATGGATGGATGGATGGATGGAAGAAAGGAGAAAGGAAGAAAGGAAGAGGAGGGAGGAGGATAGAAGAAGGAAGGAGGAAGAGAAGGAAGGGGAGGAATGGAAGGACAGAGGAAGAAAGGGTGAAAAGCAAGGAAGCAGGGAAGAAATAAGGAAAGAGGAAGGAAGGAAGGGGAAGAAGAAGAAGAGGAGGAGGAGGAGGAAGAGGAGGAGGAGGAAGACAATATTAAAATATCTAACAATCTGAATAGGTTCATCCTGAAATGGTAGACAAGGTTTGGGAAACAGAGAGCAGTCATTCCCACAAGAATGGGGCACCCTAAACTCAACCACTGGGGCAAGGCCACAACGCCTAAGCCAGATCTAGACTGGACACCCAGTTACAAGTTCCAATAAACTCTCCCTTTACTCAAGCTTTCCTTTCTCTCTATTACTTTAGGCAAAACCCTCCACCTGCCCTCTTCCTCTCTCAGACTCACCCTAGTCTCGAATCAGAACCGGAATTCCACTGAAAGCAAGAATCAACCACGGAAGCTC